AATAATAATTCTATATTAAAAAATATAAAGTTTATGTAATATACATATAGAAATAGAAGAAACTCTCTATATTTTACAAAAATAACTTATCATATCTTTTATTTTTAATTAAAAAATTCACCGTTTCCTTGTTATATTTTTACACAATTATACATTGTATTCTAATAATATTTCTTATCATATTTTCCACTCTTAATAAATTCACACCATAAAACCTCGGTGAAATCAATCACGTTACCCGTCCACTCATTCAAATCGTCCGATACGCGCTGAAGAAAAAGGTGCAAAGAAGAAGAAAAAAATACTAAATCAAAAGCGGTAATAAAGGTTGGACAGAAAAAGTACCCTCGGACACCATAAGTGCAAAGGAACATGAGCATCGGACAGGAGATACAAACTGACTACTCGGCCGTGACTGGAATTCTATGTATCGATCCTCCTCCGTCTTCCTTCTCGTCACTGAACGAGACGAGGTGAGACAAAGTGAGCATCCTTAGCCAACTAGAAGTCTACTGGAAGCCAATCGATCCTAGTTCAATTGGGTTTCCCGATGTACTTCGACGTTCCACTAAATCAAACTGCGTCAAACAAAGTTTCGTGCTGCTTATTGGAGGACGAAGATCCCATGTCCAAGGAGAATCCAGTAACTGATACCCTAAAAGCCTATCAGAACACCTACATATACATCTACAGTATTTCCGTCACGTTGACCAATTAGCAAGTAGGCAACTGATTAACAAATGCTGCTGTATCTACGAGGAAATTCAACCACGCGATGGCTGTATAATCAATCATTCGACATTAGGGACAAAATCGAAATAGTATCGATACAACGGTGAGAAAAAAGGTAAAGGAAAGCTGGTTATGCGATATAACCTAATTGGGTCGTATTAAATCACCATCAATAACCATACTGTAACATACTGGTTCGTTCGTTACTCGAAGCCACTAATTAGTCGTGTTTTGCCGATTCCTGTCGAACTTTCGTACAATAACGGTGAGAGGAAGCACAAAGTAGGTCTCGTGACTTCATCGATTCTACTCTGCTCTGTGGCAATACGGCCTGAATTTAATAATTCGTGGTCGACCGATATCAAGATCCTCCAGGAGAACCACTTGCATCTGTTATTACAGGCAAAGCGGCTTCGCGTGAGTATAGCGGTTGAATTTCTGCCCGACTTCCTTCTTCCTCCCTCCCTCCGCCACCGCCACCTCTATTTTTCCATTCTTTTGAAAACACCGCTCGTAAATATTGCGGTTCGAATGAGAGTTCAATTAGACGGAGTGGAACACGGGAGAACTCGATGCATTCGGAGGTTTCCGCCTCTACGGCATGAAGGAAAGATACATTTCTACCCGTAAATCCAAATACGGGTAAACAGTTCGAAATATATGTGTGAAAATGTGAGAACCGAATGATGATCTATCACGAGAATTGCCACTTTATGCTATCGGTGGAAGAAACCCGGACAGGCCTCCTCGTGATATATATTTTCGTATTCACGATAATAGCGGCATCGTTCACGTATCAATATCTCTTACAACCGCTATACGTTATTTGCAAAAGGGGCGAATGCATTTTTACACGGACGGACAACAGTCGAGCGGTGGGTGAATCCACGTCGTTATCAAATGCAATTTGTCGAGTGTTTTATTGTAACGTGACGAAGTTTCGGTATGGTGGATTATCACTGTAGAATTGGTTAATCACATTTGGTCCGGCAAACCGAGGTGCCTAACGCCCATCGACCCACCATAAAACCCTCTTGGACGAGCCATCATCGCTAAGGACCGAGTACGCTGTTAAGGGGCTAAACCACCCTTGAGACCTGAATATGATACCTAACTTTGGTGTTTTTTTTTTTAAGACTGCAATTTACTCGATCGAAAACTTTTCATTGGGGCTTTATTGCATTACCCTTGAAGAATGTAAAGGGATTTGTTCATTTAATTTCTTTGCAAAGTGGACGTTTAAAAGAAATTTTCTAAGAGTAGCAAGGGTCAATTTTGAGAAAAAGAATTCTTTAGCATCGTAATGTAGGAGATTAAAAATCACGCAACTTTGAATGTAACCATTATTCCATATCTTATACAAGTTTGGTAAATATTCAGGATAGTGTTTTCATCCCTAGGACCATTTAATTGCCGAAACAAAAAATGGTTTAATTATTAACGCCACTTGAATTATAATACATTTTTACAAAGCTTCAAATTTTTTTGAATTTTCGAGTTGTCGAGTGTCCCTTGTCAGATTTACATTCTAAGACAAAATATATTCACACTGAGACTCAAGTATCAACTTAAGTATTCAACCAGGCTTGAGTCATTCGTTTCACAAGAACTAGCTCTCCTTGTCAGATTTACATTCAGATTAAGAACAGACTCAACCTGTAGTCAACATACATTCACGCTGATTGTGAGACTCAAGTATCAACTTAAGTATTCAACCAGGCTTGAGTCATTCATTTTACAAGAGTTAGCTTCCCTTGTCAGACTTACATTCAGATTAAGAACAGACTCAATCTAGAGTCAACATAGTACATTCACACTGGCAATGAGACTTAAGTATCAACTTGAGATACTCACATTACTTCAACCAAACTTGAGTCATTCATTTCACAAGAGCCAGCTTCCCTCGTCAGATTCACATTCAGATTAAGAACAGACTCAACCGAGCGTCAAAACACATTCACACTGATTGTGGGACTTAAGTATCAACTTGCAATATTCGCATTACTTCAGCCAAACTTGAGTCACTCGTTTCACAAAATCTATCTCAACTGTGAAGAGACACAAGACCCTCTCGAAATTCCAACGAAAGAATCGCAGCGCACGAGACTCAACACCATTTATTCGCCGGTGAGTTCTTCTCTACTTCCCTTCGTCTTTAATTACAGGCCACGTCCCGCCATATTTCCCCCGCAGCTTTCGTAATATTTCTGATATTTCCACGGCCGCAATTGCCGGACCGTAGTGACGTGATGTTGCCCACCACGACGACCGGCTTGCACGTTGCCATTAAAGTTATTTTCGCGTGGTCGAAGGGAACAAAAACTCAAACTTGGCACATCGTGGCCCAACGTGGTCTCTCGGTGCCGTTCGTCGTGCAGAAATAAAGCGTTATTTCTGACGGCCTCTCTGTTCCCGAACTTTAATCACAGGTTACATAATCGGGGATTACGTTGACTCTTGTACGAAAACCGGGGGGAATATTTATGGTGCGCGACGTGTGTTTTCGAAGCCGGAAAATCTGAGAAAGAGAATACATACATGTATGTACAATACACATATCCGAAGAAGGATATTCCTGATTGTAAAGCCAGTGTTGAAACGTGAAACGTTGCGCTGCAACTTGGAGCGCGTGCTTACACATGTATATTGAAATTATGCACGAGAAGAGGCAAGATTGAATTACTTATGGAATTGCCGAGAGCCCGCAACCAGCCACGAAAGCAATTTATGAGCACGCGCGGCTATGCCACCCGAGAAAAATCATACGTATCTCCTCGATATTCGCTGCGAAAGGTGAATATTTCAACAGCAGTTTCGACACTCCTCCTACTTCCACCTTGTCGTCCATGTATATCAATTTACCGGTGATTGCGTAACGTATGACCTGGCCGAAAGTATAAATTCTGCCGGATGAACGGTGAAACTTAGGACATTCCTGAATAATACATCCGCAATTGTATTTTATATATGATAAAAGCGCAGCCGGGTTACCGCGACCAACTTGACATCCCTGATGATATAGACGATACCATAAAGTTTTACGAGCTTTCTAAATATGTGCTTCAGCCGACGATGGCGTATCATATAAGAAATGTACAATACGTCTCTTCGAGATAGAGAGATATTTTAATTATTATTGTTAAAATTCTTCGCAAAAGTGATCTAAAGTTCTTCGCCTTCGTTCGCCATTATGTCGTATTTGAGTGTCGGGAGAAAAATTGATCTCAATTTAGTATTACAGTGAATAAATAATAAATTCTTTGAAAAAATAATTTGGTCGCGAAAGAGTTAACGCGTCAGTTGAGAAAATGAAATAGGATTGTAATTGAAGAAATTAAATTTCAATTAAAAACAAATTCTGTGGAATTAATTTTGCACCTTTTTCGAATTTAACGTTGTCTTTTCACTACTGAATTTTATTTCTTACCAAATTTATAACTACCGTGTAATGCAAATTAAGAATGCGATACATTCGCAAAATGTAGAAACTTTTTAAATTACATACAGCTTTCATTTCATTTTAATAACAAAAAGTTTCTTTGTTTTCCATAGAAAAATTTTCTAATCTATAGCAAACAGTGCAGCGCTAAAATACTCCTTGAAAATTTTGCAGTTAACATTTGCAGTTCGAATCGAGCTGAGTTGAAAATTCATTTTGCAATACATCCACGTAAAAAATGAACAGTAAACAGTGCATTTCACAAGTTCGTTATTAAAAATCTTAGCCAGTCGAGGATGAATGCTGGAGAGAACGCTAGATTTCTGTAATAAAACACATTGTGCTTGCATATTGTGCGTGATTTCATACAAATTCGTAGGCATCGATACGTTTGCCCTCTCGTCGATTCTTCCATATAATATTGAAGGCAATAACCTACTGTACATTATATTACTATTCAGTCCATAAGATTACGTCGAGCAGGTTTTAAGGGAATCGAATGTTTCGCAGATCAGCGGTTTTCAAACAGAAAGAACATAAAGGAATTTTAACATGGTCGTGAAAGTATCAAAATTTTCACTGTAAGTAAAAATTACTCGACGAACAATTTTTTTTTTGAATAAAATCTATTAAAATGGATTATTTGTAAATTTCTTCTCTTCGTTCACGTTGCAATAATTGCAACACAAATTACTACCACTTCGTCGTCTCGTAATGGAAACACTAATTTAACAAAGGAGTATACAAATGTGTTACTCGAAAAAAGTTCACATTTCAGAAACTCTCTTCCTCTTTGAATATTTATTCGCACAATTTATCTACATTTATTCGTGCAAGTATAAATATTTATGAACATTATAAATTCATAGAACAAAACTATACGACTCTCCGTTAGATAGAAAACAATGTTGAAATAACTTAAAGACGAATTATAATATTAAATAATACTCGAATTAGTCACAAGAAAAAGGAAACGTTTCTTCGTTGAAAAAATTCCAAAATATATATTTGCTAAATTGGTCAGAAAAGAGGGAAACATTTTTCAATGTTTCAGACTCCAAAACACGTATTTTCTAAATTAGAAAAAAAGGACGCATTTTCAATTGAAAAATTCCAAAGCATATTAATTTTTAAGAAACTTATCGAAAGAAATTATTTCATTTCAACATTACTATTTCGTGCAGTGATTATTTTAGAGCATTTTGTAAGCAGATATTTTGAAACAATATACAAATCTACTTGTCCAACTGAATTCCACATTGAAATACATAAGTGTTATTGATTTTACAGCTGCGACGCGATTTCCGCTAGCGACTTCGTCGAATTTTCCAATTACATGTCCACGGACCGGAAGTACTCGAGGTATTGCGGTCAACAGAAAGAGTTCGATGTCAAAAGTGATAGAAAGTTCTTTCGCGTGACCTTTAAGAGTAACGACAGATATGACGGAACAGGATTTAACGCTAGCTACGTGTTTGTGGACGAGGAAGGAAATTATACAACAAAGCCACCGACGAGCAACGCGTCAACGTTAAAAGGTAAAGCTAAAGCTCCTTTTTTCTCTCTCTCTCTCTCTCCCTTTCTCAACGACTAACTTTTTCGTCTCCTTTCATACTCGAATTTTTACGTTTCCTACACAATGCCAACCCTTTTCCTCACTTCAGGTTAATTTCCGTACAACAGAGAAATTAAAATAGAATTTCTACAAAAAAAAAAAGAAAAAAAAATACAAATGTAACCCCGACTGTCCTGATTGTACAAAAGAAAATTTAAATGTAACTTATTTAAAAGTACATACACGAGACCGTGTTTCACTTCTCTATGTGGTGAAACGTATCGTTGCGGCATAGTAACCGCGAAAGATTTTTTTTCAAAATGGACAAAAAAACGTGGCTCGGAAAAGTTTCATTAATTCATGCCTGCAGTAGAGATACATTGTAAATTCTGCAATTCACTTGGTGTGCATTTTTCAAAACACTAATTTCACGCTGTGAGAAAGTTCGTAGTAGAAGCATTGGGAATTTAAATGTCCAGTAATTCTGTTACCATTGTTGCACGTTTAATTGCACAAGGTGCGGCTAATTTTGGGGAATTTCTTTTCGAGTAACTGTTACATGAAAAATTTCGATTTTTTCTCAGGATGGAAAAGTGATTTTCAATTGAATTTAGCAGTTTTTTTGTGGAATTTTTAAAATGTGAAACTTCCTATTTGACGACACAAACAACTGTGTCTTGTAAATTTCTCGTTTCTCAATAGAATTTACCAATTTTCATCTGGAATTTTTAAAAAGTGAAAATGTTACACTTCCTATATCGCGACATAAAACTACTGTACCTCGTAGAAATTTTCTTATCTAGCGGTTCGAGACAAATTTCTCGTTTTTCAATAGAATTTACCGATTTTCATCTGGAATTTTTAAAAAATAAAAATGTCACACTTCCTATTTAGCGGTACAAAACGACTGTACAAAATGCAAAATTTTGCGGTTCGATGCAAATTTCTCATTTTTCAATTGAATATATCAATTTTCATTTGGAATTTTTAAAAAATAAAAATGTCACGCTTCCTATTTGGCGCAACAAAATGACTGTGCCCCATAAAAATTTTCTTATTCAGCGATACAAGACAAACCTCCCATTTTTTCGCTGTACTTTATTATTTTACCCTACAAAAGCCTCAGTTAGTGCCTATCACAGTGAAAATAGCGAAAAGACACCAGAAATACCAGGTTACAATTAAACACAAGCTACACGGAACGAACAAAGCATGATCTGTATACCCAATACCACCTCAGTGAGCGTGTTAAACGTAAAATACCGGACGTATGAAAATCTTGTAACGATTCGTTATCGATCGGCACATTCTAATGATGAAATCAATTCCTCGTGGTGGTACAGCTGATATTAGGCGTTAGAAACGCGATACCGAGGCTCGCTGTACCGTAGTTTGCAATGCAAACACACCTCGTTACGATTCCGCTCCGCGAGACGTGCGAGTGTGTGCATTTAATATTCTCCCGCGCGTGTGTACATATACGCAAAAGAGGTTACCGGTAAACGTAGAGATTCGACGAAATTTTTCTTTCTCCATTCTCCACGGCGGAGAGAGAGAGTTTTAAACGAAACGCAGAACGTTAGACTGGGCGTGGCATTTGAAAAAAAAAAAAAAAAAAAGTCAAACACCTCTCATCGCGAGGTTCAAGCGTTCACCGGTTTATCGCAACAATCCCATGAATAATCGACAGTTTACATCCGAAACAGCGGAAGCACGCGTCAGTGTAAAAAAGATTATACACGATTTATAAGAGGATTTGCGATAGACGAGCGGGCCCTGCAGATATTGATAGAGGAAATCGAATTTTTGTGTACTTTCGCCCATTATTAAATCACTCGGAAGATAGATTCGTTTGCTTTAATCGTACGTAAATCGGACGAATCAAGAACGGAATGAAAAATGGATCGTTCAATTCGTAGATCCTTCTTTACGGTTTCGGACTTTTGTGTGGTCTTTTTAACCTAGGATTCGGGTTAATGTTATGCTGGATTTGAATGTAAACGAAGGGTAGGAACGTTTGGATGAAATTAATCGACCGCGAATCGTGCTTATCACAAGTGTAATTCGATCGTTTTACTTGAAATTGTTTTATGTGAAAGTTCAATTTTCTGACTTAAATGCAGAGTGTTGATAAGAGATGTAAAAGTTGATCGTGGTGACTCGCGATGGCGGTAAATATTTTAAAGGATTAAGTTAATATTTAAAAGCATTTCTCTTCGAACGAGTATTGAAAATTTCGAAGAGAAATACTTCAAAAATTCTGCATTGCTTAATATTGATTTGCTAGAGAGAAAGTACCAATTGATATTACAAATAAAATAAATCGCTTAACATTGATTTTCTAATAAATAAACCTGAGAAAAATGACCAGTTGCATTGTAAACACACTAAATCGCTTAATATTGATTTTCTAATAAATAAACTTGAGGAAAGGTACAAATTGCGTTATAAACATCGCTAAATCACTTTCTCATCAGCTCCATTATTAATTTCCTTCGTGAAATTACACTCGTTCTCCTCTTAACTAGAATAAATTCGCAACACTCTGGGAAGCATCTATAAGAATTCCAACTATAAAGTTGACGTACAGAATACAACGAACACTACGAATGTATTACTGTGCCGCTTATTACGATAATTGCAACGAAGGGACGATGTTTTAATAACAATTATTCGCAAGCACAATACCGTTTAAGATAGGATTTTGCACGAATAGCATCGGAATATCAATGGAACAAAAGTTTCACGTTAAAGCAACGTTTACATTCGAAACACGTTTTCCCATGCACACGGAGATTTTTCTTTTACAAAGTTTTCTTTACGTACGACACAAAAGGGCTGTCTTCTTTCGTTCTCATGATATTACGTGTACACTACATGCCTGTGCTTGATAAAGACCGAGGAGAAAGAGGAAAAAAAGAAGAAGAGAAGAGAAACAAATAAAGGAATGGAAAAGAAGGCGGAAAACATAGTCGTTGTTCCTTCTCTCTAAATTTAGATGCGATGTAAAGCATGGAATACAAACGAACCCTAAAGACAAGAATCAAGTTCCCCGGATATAAAAGGAAGCCGAACAAACTTAGTGAAACCTCACGGACGATATACTCTAAATTGCATACGCATAGTTGCTCCTTTTTCTTCGATTCTGCTCGAGACACCGTAAGGGAAAATCACGCGGGCATAGGTTTACGTAAATGCAGGAATAAATTAAGAATTGGTGAGAAATGGGTGATTTCCAGGAACGATGTTAAAAATCGCTAAATTGAGATTAATTGGTGTTCGGTGAAATTAATATCGAGACGATTGATTGTCTAAAATTTTTAACTCAACACACATCTTGTATTCTATTTTTTATAAATTTTTAAATCACCTTTTTCAATCGTCTATAGAAAATTAAATTATCATCCTTGCAGAATTCTAATAAAATTATATATGCAATATTGCTCTGCATTTCGATTGATACTTTTATGAACTGTAGATTCTAACGATGACTTCGCAAGTATAAGAAATTCTTAATAAAGTGAAGCTATTTAAATTGAATTCTAAAAATTCGAAATTCTTAATA